TTATTGGTTTCTTCGTATATATATATAGTTATATATATATACATAAGTTTTGGTTTCTATGCATATATATAGTTATATATATACATACATGTGTTTTTGAGTTTTCATGTTTATAAATATGAAATCACATGTTTCATATTTATTATTGTGTTTTAGTATATATTGCATAGAATATGCAATTTTGTGAAAATATTATTTTCTTAGTTTTTGGACTTAACAATAATCATATACATATTTTATTAAGTCTATATAATCATTGTGCAAAGTTTCAAAACATGGTTTAGCCTAAATGTCAAAATTCACATGTTTACATTTTCGTGTTTTGGACTATTTTTGCAAAATGATGATTTTTCACAAATGGGAAATGCAATTTGGAAAATTCTTTTTGTAACATGTTCATTTACATGTTTATATACATTTCCCAAAGTTTCATTATTTTTGGACTTCATTTGTTATTTTTAACAATTTTCCAAAAGTCAAAAAATATATTTTCAAACTTGTTTTTTCTGTTGTGTCAGTTCGCGGGCGACCGCCACGGTTTTTCTGAGCTGTTTGCTTTGGGCTTTTTTGTCATTTGCTTGGGGTTTATGCTGAAGTTTTAAGTGGGTATAAATACCCCATTACCTTCAGCTCTCCATATAACCAAGAGAATGTTTTTTAATAGTTTAACAAGGGTTTAAACTTGTTTAGTGTTTGTTTAAGTTTGTTTTAAGAAGCTTTTAAGCATTTGAGTGTTTTTGGTTTTGTGAATCAATTCCACAAGAGCTTGAGGAGATTATCTATTAAAGTTTGAGCTTCCAACTATCCTCCCTCCATCTCTTGTTATCAATTGAGAAGTTTTCTAAACCCAAACTCTAGCTTTACATTTATATACTTGTTTGATTATCATTGTTCTCAAGCTAGATTTTATATTTGAGTTTAGTTGATTTGATTTTATTTACTCATTGTTACACACACCCACTTTGAGCTTATTGTATTTGCATACATAGTATATTAGGGTTGTGAGAGATTGTAACATTGAGTTATGCTTAATTGAATAACAAATTTATATTTGTTACATTATGAGTGTTGTAAGGTTTTCGGTGAGCTAGAAAACCGAGTGTGTTGTGAAGTTTTCGGTGAACTAGAAAACCGATTGTGAGGAGTGACGTTGATCGGTGAGTGTTGAAAACCGACACTGTGAGGTGTAAACGTTATTCGGGTGAGCGTAGAAAACCCGGTTGTAATAGTGGATATCTCCCCGGGAGTGGGGAGCGGAGATGTAGGACGGAAGGTCCGAACTTCGTGATCATTTGATTGTGTTTGTGCTTTGGTGTTTATTTATATTTGTGCTCATTGCTCATATCGCCATTGTCTCATCATTTATATGATCCACTATCTAGTTCATTTTGTTTACTCTTGTGTTAGTTTTATATCTTTGCACATACATTGTCTATATCTCTTTGGTAGGATATATCATCTTGTGCTAGTTTATATATCCTTGCATATATTTCATCATATAGGATATATATCTTGTTGTTCTTATTGCTTATCCTAGCTTATATATCTTGTTGTATTCCATACTTGCTAGGATAACTTGTTAATTAATTTTAATTGGTATTTAATTGGATTAGATTAGCATAAGACCCTAATCACCCCCCCTCTAGGGTCTAACAGCACGTGCATAAAATCTAGTTATTGGCAAAAACGTGAGAAGCAATTACATAAATTGTATGTATTACAACATGTGGACATGCGATGGCGTAGAAAACATAGCCATATAGTTATAATCTTTGACGGCCTGAGGCAAAGACTAATCCAATTTTTATGGGTCAAATTTAATTAAATTGGTACAATCTCACCTTGGTTGTTGAGATACAATTTGTTGCAAGTTCTTTTTCTACGAGTGAAGGGGAAGCAAAGCTCGATTGAGAATCATTGTTACGAATTCTCAGAATTTTTATTATATATTGAAAAGATTTAAATGACGTAATTTACTTATGTATCAAATGATGGTAACAAGGAACTAACTTTATGAAAATTCCAAACCGTTGATCATGCGAAAATTTGAGAATTTCCTTACGATTCTATTTTTTGATCTTTTTTCATTTCTATCTTATATTGTATTTGATATCTCTCATTTAAAATTAATGTTACTAATTATAGACCTTTATAATTACCTAAAAAGGATTACTTAATAGATTTATAATAGATTTCAATCATGATTGAAGACTATTATTAACTTTTTACCAAAGTTTATTAAAATTTTATAATTATTAGGTGGACTGTTGCAACCTTATCAATTTTAAAATTATAGTTTTGTTGCGCGATAGAAATAAAAAAATATTAATCACATTCAACTAGCTAACACGTGTCTCAAGCAGACTATACCTTAGCTCGATCTAGACAGTCCGAGACAAGCATCCCTTCTCGCCGGTCTGAGATAGACGTCCCTTCTCACTAGGCCGAGACAGGCGTCCCTTCTCGCTAGGCCGAGTCAACCCTTCTCACGAGGCTGAGATGAAAGACATTCCTTCTCACTAGGCTGAGACCAGAGGCGTCCCTTTTCTCCAGGCCGAAACAAAAAGTGTCCCTTCTTTCCAGGCTGAGTCGTCCTTTCTCGCCAGACAAAGTTGAAAGATGATCATTCTTGAACCATGCGCTGGTAGCCAGTCACAATCACATTAGATGCACGGTTAGAATCATCATTGCTCCAGCTCAAAAGTCTTTATGACTCATCAGATTTTGTCAGCACAATGCTTCCCTTATCACCATCGTATTAAACACAAGGATGACTCTTTCCATCCATAGCCAACACCTATAAAATAACTGCTGACTAAGCTGTATGTCTAGACTCAGCCAAAATTATAACATTGCCTCTCTGGACTATCATGTACAAAGGCACTGTCTGCAGCACAAAGGTAAGCAATTTCTTGCTAAAAAATATACTATCTCCATAGTTCTTCTCCATGCAAGCTAATTATTGACTTAGTCATCGGAGGAATCACCAAAAAATCTAACTCAGGTCCTCTAATGTATTGTAGTCTTGCAGGAGGCTCAACAGTCCATCTGGGGGTCAGCCATTAAAGGAGGTCAAGGGACCCTAACCTCTTCAAGATCACCCTCAAATTCCGCTATTGAGAATATCGACATCAACAAGTTTAAAGTTTTCTAAAATTGCAATTTATTCTTCATAGAAATTTGCTCTCAAATTAGACGATGAGTACAATGAAATTAAGCAACTAGTTGAAATAGTTTTTTCTTTTTTTCAGGTGAAATAGGGAGGCAAAAGCCTTGACATAGAAGAACTAAAAAACATCCTCAAAACAGACAAGACTTGGCCACTTCTTGCTATCACCATCCCGGACCAAAAGTTGCATAATATCGTTCGGAGGGGTTAACAACACTTCGACACACATAATCCAGTCGATATCCTGTTTGGTGAGGAAGTTCGCCGCTTGGTTTGATTCTCAATAAATATGATACACCCTAATTTGCCAATGTTTTCAAAGAAGATCTCGAACTCGAGAAATGATGTTGAAGTGAGGATACGACGCGATCACGTTGTGAATGAGGTCAATAACTCTTCCGAGTCCGTTTCAGCAATAACACAAGGTTCTCTCTATTCCTAGGCCAAATTATGACCATGCCAAAGACCCCATGACTCTAATTCCATGACATTTGGCTCCCGAGCTGGATTACTGGATTGAGTCTGCTCATTATGCCAATACCACATGCTTCGAACCATCTCACCAAACATAAGAGACCAATCCATAGACCACTCACCAATTCCAACCCGAGTAGTAAGATTCCAGTCCACCTAAGCCACCAAGTTCCGAGAGAGAAAAATAGCAAAAAAATTTCTGGGGAAACAAAGATAGCCCAAATAGTTGAAATAGTTTTAACATTTTACATGATGAACAGGTGCATTCTCATTCGATACCAAAGTTTTAGAATATTAGTTTTTTTTTATTTCTATATCAATAGATACTTATGGTTAGTCTTCAAACAAAGTTTTCCTAGATCCGTCACTGTATACATTGTTGATTCACCTCTCATTTATTACATGAGGTAACTTAACCTAGTCCTAGGAGTTGTTTGTTTTCATGCGGTTGCTAAATTTTTCCTTGAAAAAAGGGACCCACAAATCTAAAATTATATTTTTATCATATACAATATTTGTTGAGTAATGATAACTATACTATAAGAATCATATTGCTTTTCTATTACTATGCACAACGAATTAAGACCTTTTTGCAAAAGGAAATTATGAGTGGTCATGACCCCCACTTCTTTGTGTGTAATAGTACAAGTGTAGAATAACTCTTGTAGTACATCTAGTATTTTTATGTCTTTTTAGTATTTTTATGCCATGCATTTAGGGGTGCCAGGTAGGATAGGTGCATAAAATGCGATTCTCTAAAATTATAGCGATTTCATTTGGATTTATAATTTTAGTCATATATTCTAACAAAATTCATATGCGACATACCCCTCACAAATCCTCTTTAACATTTATTAAAAATTGTGAATATTAGTTTTTCAAAATTCATTGCATGCATCAAGATGAATACATGAACCAAACAACCCCTTAGCGGTTATCACGTTAAGATAGATTATCTGGCGGAGCATCCTAAGCCGATCTCCTGCTTTCTTAAAAAAATAAATAAAACAAAAATTACCCAAAAATAAAAAGTAAAAGAAAAGGAAAATGCTGGTTAAGTTTTTAACCGATGACGCCAAAATATAAACATGGAGGAGAGAGAGAGAGAGAGAGAGAGCGCTTATATATATCTATATATATGGTAAGGGGTTTGGAGAAGGAGAAGGGAAAGGGGAAGAAGAACAGGATACTGTGAAACAAAAGAGAGAGAGGAAAATTTATTTCTAGTTTCTGATTTCATAATGGGTTTTCCTTTCTCTTGCCATTTAATCTCAAATTAAGGTTAATCAGTCAAAAAGAGAAAAAAAAAAAAAAAAAGAAGAAAGCAGTTTGGTTGCTTGTCCGATCGTTGGTAAAAAAAAAAAAAAAAAAGAAGAAAGCAGTTTGGTTGCTTGTCCGATCGTTGGTGGAGAGGTTGTTTGACTCATCCGATCGCTTCTCTTTCTTCCCCATCAAATTCTTTCGATTTTTTTTGGTAAAGATTGTTTTTTTCTCTTTAATTTTAATGGAATGTTTGCCGTGAACGGAACCTCTTGAGTGTTTATTCAGTCTCGCTGATCGGTTTGCTTATTTTCAGATGGCTTTTGATTTTACTTTTCTTGTTTAATGGCATATTATTATTATTATTATTATTATTATTATTATTATTATTTTTTGTTTTTCACAAGGTGAGGATTTTGGTTTGTGCAGAAGGGTTTTATCCTAATTTATTTAATTTCTTTAATCCTTAGCTGACATCAGTTATTGGGTTTGTGATGATCATCGTAATGATCTTTGTGGACCCAAATTGGGGTAGCAAGCTGTTTTTTTTTTTGTTCAAGCAATATATTTATTTATTTATTGAGCAGATGACGCTGATAACCAGTGGATTGGGAAGATTTTCTTGATTTAGTGAATTACCAAAGTTTCTTTTAGTGGCTAGAAATATAAGGGCGTGGTTTGGTCATGATCAGCAGAGAGCTCAAAATTTTCTTTTCCTTTAAATTTCTTTTGAGGCTTTAGATCCTATTAAATTGATCAAAACGAACTTTTTTATACTAGTTTCGTCAATTTGAGTGCTCCCAAAAGCTATAAGTGATCAGCCGTTTTGTTTTGCATCCATTATGCTAGAAAGGGGAATTTCTATTGTTCATTTGTTCTTATCTATCTTGATGATTCTCATGAATTCAAATACTTGATTGGAATCTTCGATTTAATTTGTTGCTTCATTTATTCTTTCAGGATTGATCAACCACGAAGTCATTATGGAGATTTCAGAGGCATTGATATTGACATTTGTTATGGATTTCAAACATTGGATTGAGGTGTTGGCACCAATCTTTCGAGGTCACGGCGACTGATGAAACTGTGAACTTTTTATTTACAAGGCATTGGTAATTTGCTAGTTTACACTGGCCTCCAGTAAGTTGCCAGTAATCGATTCAGATTGTAGTGAGTTGTAGCTTGGATATTTATTTCAATTCTCAGTTCTTTAGCTTTCATTGAACTGGATGTTCAGAAGAACACAAGAGGGTTGTCATGGATAGATAGTGGAGTTCAATCATCAATAGGAAGTAGAAGTAGAAAATCAAAGTATCTAGAAGTATTTGGAGACTAGTGGGATAAGAAAAAGGTAGAAAGAAAAGTCCCCACATTTAATATTTTGCAATGGGTTTACCTCAAGTAACCCCTAGTACATCTGGTGAAGTTACAACATCATTGAGCACTTACGTCTCGATCCCGCCTCGATTTGGGAGTATTAGCAGTTGTGACCTGGACGGTCTCCATAGAGGGAATGTGGAAGATAGGGAAGAAGAAGATATTTCGTGCTCCGCCTCAATTAGTGATTTCCGTAAGAAAGCTAGCTTACAGGCCCCAAAAGGCATAGGTGCTCCGATGAAATGTAAAAGTCTAGTTGATGAAGCCGTGAATCTTCATGGGCTAAAAATTGATTTTAAGGACAAGCTTGGATGGCTGTCCCCTAAAGTGAGGGTTGTGGGTTTTGAATCGAGCAATCTGGGTTCTTCTGCTATTGAGTGTCAGAAAGTAGGAGTGGATGGGAATCATTCATCTTCAAGTGATGGGATATCCGATTCATCAAATGATTTAAATGGATCACAAGTGAGAAAGCGTTTGCATTCTCCATTGAATGGGATGGTTCATAAACAGTTCCATGGTAATTTCTTAGATCTTTCAAGTCGCAGTGCTAGGGGAGATCTTTATGATCCTAGCAGAAATTACAGTATCTTTGCATCGCAGGACAGAAAGAAAGCAAATATTGGGTGCACTGACTGCCTTGAGGTTCCAATTTGGCCCAGCTCTAGCAGTGAGAATAAGTTCAATTCTGGGTTTTTCACTGATGGTCCTTTGCTTGAGAACACAGAAGCTTTTAGTCACTTTTTTAAGTCATCTGCATCGGGATTTGATTCGAACAATTCTTCAATTAAAGGAAGAAACTGTAGTGCAGCGGTTAACATATCTCCTAAAAAGGTTCATTCGCCACCACTCTCCTTGTCTCCTCTTGGTCCTAAATGGGCTGATAGAATGAGAACTGAAGGGATCTGCAGAGATATCTCAAAAGAAATTGAAAGTGACTTCTTGATTCTAAAAAACCTGAAGGATCCAGTTAATGAAAGTAACACAGGAATCCCAATTCCAGTAGAAGAAGATATACTGCATGACGAGTCAGATTTATTTACACCTTTAAGTTCTGAATCTGCCCCTACACATCGTTGCATAAAGTTTGCCAAAAGTTTGAGCCTTATTCCTGTTCGGCGATCGCTAGTTGGTTCCTTTGAAGAGTCTCTCTTATCAGGCCGGTTCTCCTCTGGCAGTGTTAGTCAGGTTAGAAATCATGTAGATGTTGCATGTTATGAAGAGGTGGCATGATTAATTTGATATAAGCCTTTTTGTTATGTTTTCTTAATTTGGATTATTGATGATGCAGAGAATTGATGGTTTCTTAGCGGTGTTGAATATCACTGGGGGAAGCTTCTCCCCTGCATCTCAAAAACTCCCGTTTGGTGTAACGAGCATTGATGGAGATAGCTCCCTGTTATACTATGCTTCCATTGATCTTGCAGGAAGCTTGTCATCAAGTAAAGGTAGAGGGCCAAAATTGAAAAGGAGCCTTAGCAATAATGATTCTCGAGCAGCCAAAAGTCGCTTGCGCATCCCTATGAAAGGGCGTATACAGCTGGTACTTGGTTTCTTAACCCTGAAAAATTGATTGGTGAACAAATGAGTTAGAGCTTTTAACTGGTTAAGAGTACACATAGGTAATCTGCTGGCTGAAGATGAATCAAGTAACATTTATTTAAACATCCATCTTTCATGAACTCAAACTTTCATCTGGTCTTCCGGGTACTTCCCTGATCATTGTATTAATCTCATTTATGTTTTGGCCTGGGTGATTGAGGGATTAGCCATCATGAGTTTGGTCTTTGAGGTGGTAACAGGAAAAACAAAAATTGAAGTTCAAGTAAGTAGAAAAATGCGGTCAGAGTTATCAATTGACAATTAATGACTTGAAAAATGTAATTTATTAAGCCAAAAGTAATACGAGATGAATCAAAGTAGATGTGTATGGTTCTGTATTGAGGGTGCTTCGGCTGAGTCAGGGTACATGGGGTTTTCTGAATTTATAGTGCGGCATTGCTTAACTGGGGGATGCACGCTTCTTAGTATGTTTCAGACTATTGATGCATAGTTTAAACACGATAAGTGCAACTTATGTACAAGCTTATTCGATTTACCAGTAGAATCTTGGTGGATGTTAACAGTACTTATATACAGAAGGTACCACATATCCTTAAAATAATATCTTTGTTATCCTTTGATGTTTCTCTGTAGAAAGGGGCGTCAGATCATTTTCTTTAGAATTGTACGCATGACAGTAATAGGTATAGTGGGGGAAATAATAAAAAGATTATTGTCGTAGTGATTTAGTTTAAGAAGTTGAAGTAGTTTTAAAAGCCTAATGTTATTAATTCTTTTGTTTGTTTCTGATAGGAAAACAAAGTGTAGTTGTGCAATACAAGAACTGAATGAAATACTCTAGGATAATAATGCGGACACAAAAGAGAAGAAAATTATCTAATAACCTAGATGAAACAAAAGCCTTATTTTAGCCTCCAAGGTCAGCGTGTTTTATCTGGATCATCTGTTGATAGTAATTTGTTAATGGGCTACATGCTTCAAAAAATGAAGCTGTATACTTTCTGTTTCCTGTTCTTATATCATACCATTTGAAACTTCAAACTGTTACTTATGAAAATACTGGTAGGAACCTGGGGAGAGAAAGTCTAAGCATGGGAGTTCCTTTTTGATAGTGTTAAGCCTTGTCAACTCTGAAGTTTTGGATGGTCTCTAGAGCTTAACTAGTGAGCTAGATCATAGATGAGCTCCGATACCTAGAGTAGGCAGATAACAACACTGGTGAGTTAAAAAAAAAACTCTTACTGTACAATCCATTTGTTGAGAGAATGGTTCGCATACGGCATATCTTACTGCACTGGAAAGAATCGTATTCATCTTCTCCAGTTGCTCTTTCAATCTCTCATGGAAAACTAGTTTCAATCTCTCATGGAAAACTAGTTTCAATCAGAGTTTTAAAATTGCCTTGTAATTTAGCTGTTACGTGGCAAAAATATATCAAAAGCTCACTGGCAGTTCCACGGGATTCACTCAGGACGTTCCATTATGTTTGTGTACTCTCTTTATCTTGTGAACCAGACTTCTTTTGGTCATCTTGTACTACAGACATGCAAATCCCGATGCTAATACCAATGAAAACCCTAATCCTATCTCCCAAAGTTGTAATGCAGGTTATATCTTTGTTTTGAATAGGATCATATTAGTGCATGAGAAACTTCTTTTCATGATAAAAGTTTTTCCCCTTTAACATCTTTCTATTTGTCATAACATATTTTCTTCATTTTCACTGATGTGCTTCATTTAACAGGTACTCAGCAACCCAGAAATGACCCCTCTTCACACATTCTTATGTAACTATGATTTGAGTGATATGCCTGCTGGAACTAAGGTGTGGTTACTGCTTAGCTGTTTTCATCTTGTTCTTTTGTTCTATAGACGCCACTTAGCTATATAATTTTGAGAGCAGCACAGCCCTGTCACATATAGAGGCTGACTATAACTTCTGGAAGAACTGTCTATATAATTGTAAAACATTTCACTGACGATCTCTGTGTTGACTTATAATTTCATACCTTATTCAATCTATCATAATAGAGAACTCAAGTTTGCAGCACTGGTATTACGCGTTGATCTTAGTGTTGTTTTTGGTTGGTCATGATTTTGTCTCTTTCCTTGTTAAATCTTTCAGTTATCAATAAAAATTTGTATATCTCTGTTGAATTATGAGCTGCAGAAAAGCTTAACATCTAATTGTTTATATTGAGCTCTCTGATTACATATATAGTATGAACTTGCTAGATTCAGTTGTCATCTACAATGGCATACATAACAATACAGTTGCATTTTCTCAATTTCATCTAATAAGTGAATATAATTGAAAATTCGATGTGTGAAAGATCATTCTCTTGGAGACTTCTTTGGTTGTTGAGATATTTATAGTTGGGTTCATCATAATACTTGGTCGAGAAGTGTAAGATCTACAGGCTCTGCAATTTAGATGTACCATCTTACTTGGAGGTCTGCAGGGACATAAAAAATAAAATTTCTGTAGATCTAAAGGGAGATGGAGATAAGGGAACTGAAATCGGTGATTTTGTACTCCCAGTGTAGATTTGACAATGCCTTGAAGTTGAAGTCAATAATGGGAGCCTGTAAGGACTTGCTGCCTCCAGTTTGAATAGCCTATAGAAACAACTTGCAATTTGAAGGTCTAGCTGAAGCAGTGTCAGCACTTCCATGAGAGGAGTCCTATTTGAATATCACTACAAGTAGTGGCAAAGGTTTTATTTTCCAACTTAAGTAGAGCGCTGTGCTGTTTTGTCTCGGTTAATGTTTGGGGAGGGTGTACATGCGCGCGCGTGCGCACACACACCCCACCATATGCACCAGTACCCCTAATACATGGCTAAATTTTCCAAGGTAATCATGTCATGGTCTAGCATCAGAAGTTGAAGTCAATAATGGGAGCCTGTAAGGACTTGCTGCCTCCAGTTTGAATAGCCTATAGAAACAACTAGCAACTTGAAGGTCTAGCTGAAGCAGTGTCAGCACTTCCATGAGAGGAGTCCTATTTGAATATCACTACAAGTAGTGGCAAAGGTTTTATTTTCCAACTTAAGTAGAGGGCTGTGCTGTTTTTTCTCGGTTAATGTTTGGGGAGGGTTTACATGCGCGCGTGCACACACACCCCACCATCAGCACCAGTACCCCTAATACATGGCTAAATTTTCTAACGTAATCATGTCATGGTCTAGCATCAATATGTATCTGATCTAGATAATTATATCTAAATTATATGTATCTCTTTGTAATGATGGACGCTGAAACTAATATTTCATTGCAAAGATATATTCTTAGCAGACGGAAATCTGATCAAAAGTAAATAAATACTTCTTAGTCAAAAGTAAATAAATACTTCTTAGTCAAAATAATTGCTCTCTAAATGCACATATAACTTAGAAAATTATGGTTAATGAAGAAAACTTGATTTTTTCTTCCACCTTTGTCAGTATCTGTTCCATTTAATGTGCAATAATATGTGATTTTTCTTCCATAAGCATCTTGTTATTTGTCACCACACAAGGCCATAGTTGATGTTCTCAGTGAACAGCATATAGCTTGTATATAGCAGGGTAAAGTTGTTCAAGTTCAAAGCTGATAGAAAACTATCTAAAAGAATTACATCAAAGTGGACAGGTCACATGTCATGCCAACTCGGCAGTCATGAACACTTTACCATATAACATACCAATTCACTTCCTCACATCTATGACTTAAGAAGCAACTTAAATTTATTCAAGAGCTAATCATTTTTTTATCAGATATTGTTTTTCAGTATTGTTCTTATATTCTGAAATGAAACAGACGTTTATGCGTCAAAAGACAACCTTAGCTTCTCCTGCATTCTCGGAGCAAAGTAAAGAAGGAATGAAATCTCAAACTGCAAAAAATGGGCCTTCGGCTACCTTGGTATCTGAGAAGAGTGAACATTTGGAGTGTGCAGGCAAGTCTAGTGAATATAATTAATTACTCGACATATTAGAAAGTACGATAGTACACGTTAGGATAGGCAAATATGCAAGAACTAAAAACATTATCTGCACTGTGCATTGATTTTGATGCATACAAATAGCTAAGATTTGTAACTCTATATTCAAGGGGTGCTGATAAAAAAGTTTATACCCTTTGGTATGCACATGCTCAAGATTTAAAATAACTGAATATGATGTTGCTTTTACAGGTTGTGAACATAGTCAGAACCTGTCAAGTAAAGCACAAAGCATAGAAGAAATGTTTTCATCTATAGATGCCAGTATGGAATCTCAGAATCGGTTTAGTTATTGTGTGAATGCGAAAGACAGCACTAAATTTAATAGGGTGCAAACCCAAACTTATGATAAAGGTGTTCACAGTCAGTTGAATGAGTCGTATGCACCCAGCATTAAATCTACACATTACTCTCCAAAATCTAGCTCCGGTGCACTTCGTTATGCACTCCATCTTCGTTTTCTTTGTCCATCTTCAAGAAAATGTATGAAGTCAGTGCAAAGATGTGTATCTGATCCCTTCTCAGTACCTGGGAGAAGCAATGTGGAAATTGAGGGGGAGCGGCGCTTTTATCTCTACAATGATCTTAGGGTTGTGTTTCCCCAACGTCATTCTGATTCAGATGAAGGAAAGGTATGCTACTATTTTCTTTTATTCCAAATTTTCTCTTGATGCATGTTTATATGATTAACATTTTGTCTTTGATTTGTCTGCTTTATGTCCATTCAAAAGGGGTAGAATTATAAGCACAGCTTCATACACGCGTAGTTCTAATTCCTTTTTCAATGAGCTTAGAGTCTAATAAGCCCCTAAAGTTTACCCATCTTTTCTAAGAAACCCTTAAAACTCTTATTTCAATCAATTAATTCCTAAAATTTATTCTACTTTTCTAGTAAGCCCTTAAAACTTTTATTTCAATATATTAAGCCCCTAAAATGTTTACTTTTGTTCCATTTGGTCCCCATGGTAGTTTTCAACACAAACACCACCCAAAGTACAATTGAGTTGAGGTAGAATTGGAACATTTTAAAAGAAAATTTTATATTTTGACTAGAAAGAAACAACAGGTGCAAAATTAATTGATGGAAGTTAATAATATTTTTTTTTCTTTGGGCAAACCTTGAGGAGGATTTTTGAAAATTCTCTTCAAATAGTTTAATTTTTTTTAGTTGTATAAAATTATATCCTTCTAAAAAATTGTGAGAATAACAATCCTCTTCCCTCCAAAAAAAAAAATGAAATAATAATAATAAGACCATTTCGCCCTTCCATCATGGGGATTAATTAAATAGGATGAAAGAAAACACTTTAGGGGTTTAATAGATTAAAATGAAAGTTTAAGGGCTTCTTAGAAAAGTATGGCGTAGAGTCTTCATAGATTGAAATAAGATTTTAAGGGCTTCTTAGAAACGTGGGGTAAAATTTAAAGGCTGCTTAGAATTTGAGCTCTTTTTCAACTGATGCTCTTAATCATGTGATGCGGTAAATTGCAGATAACCCTCTTGTTTATTCCTCAGTAGCAGTTATTGCCTCTCAACTACTTTGTTAGAAACCCTCGACTTCTCACATTGAGAAGGATTTAATTGCAGATAACCCCTCTACTTGCGAATTTAGGTAACTTCTATTGAGAAAGTTGAGTGGTATTGAGTGCTACTGAAGGTATAAATGAAGGGTTTATCTACAATCTAGCAAATTGGATATGATGTTTTGACCACGTTTTTTTTTTTTTTTTTTTTGGTTATTTGATGTTTGGTACTTGTCATGTTTGTTTTTGAAAGCTTCCTGTATGGTTTGTTTCTTTTCCCCCTGTTTGGGCTAAGTTTAGTTCATGTTTGTGGTAACTCTTGTGCTAGTTTTATTTTCTCTTGTACTCTCTTGTTTGGTGTGCAGTAGAATCAAGCTGAGTAGACATATTGCTGTTTCTTCACCAAAATTATGATTTCTTCCTTAGTTACTTTTTAAGTTTTTGGCCCAAACTCTTATGTTTGTTTTGAGGATGGGTGGTTCCTTAATATGCATGATAGCTGAATTTGTCCATCTTTCCTCATTTGATGGAGTTTAATCTCCCTCATTGAGACTGTGGCTTCTTTGCCCATTTTATTGTGCTGGCTGGAAATAAATTTTCTCTCTTGATGGTATTGGCTGGAGTTAAATATCTTTGCTCTTAGGATTTTTTTTCTCGGCTTTTGTTATTGTTTTCTATGATTATTTTCCTGCTACCATTTTCTTTCCTCATATTATTTTCTTTTTCTTTCTTTCTTTTGCCATTGAGTTGATGAATCCATCCAAATGAGTGTTGGCATGCATTTTCTATCAATTTGATGGTCTCGAACGTGTTAAATCAGGAGTATCATCAAACCTTGCATTGCATTATCTTCAGTGGGGATTAATTTGTCCCTGTGATCTGTGTTCATGCGTCTGTGTGATCTATTGAGGTCTAATGAGCTTTGATCTGATTTTGATGGAAGAGATTTTGTTTATTTGTTCATTATTTTTTTTGGAGCAGCTGAATGTTGAGCATCACTTCCCAGCCGATCCAAAATTCTTCGACATTGGCAACTGACAGAAATATCAATCAGCTTTGCTCGGCCAGCTTGTCTCTCATTAGCTTCTCAACTGTAAATATGCACCTCAACTGTAAATATGCACATGCATTTGAAAATTTCTTTCAATTACCCATGTTATCTGATAAGAAACTCTGTCCAATTTGTACAGTGAAAAAAGTATTGCGTTTTAGCAATTTAAAGGTGTCACATTATTGCACAACTTAATTCGACTTTCAAGTTTGATCCTTCGCTCTTTGAGATAAAATTCTTGAGAACAGAGAGCAAAATGGCATCACGTACTTATCATGATGGTGCATAATTTCATACTAATGACACTTTCGTATATAGGGTCAACTTCTCGTACACGGTGGTGTTATATATTCCTGGTTGTCTGGATACTTTAACCCAAATGTCAGATATTTGGCACCCTGTTTGGATTATACTATTTCACAGCAAATATTTCAGCAAATAATACTATTTCACAGCAAGTACATTGTTGCCTTGGTTCTTTGGCGGATGTGTAACGCGTAAGACTTCTATCAGGGCGCTCTACACCGTGCTGGGAGATCTGATACTCGCGAGGGAAGAAAAGTGGGGTGGTTTGGGTATTTCAGTGCTCCTTGTGTGCAAAGGGGGTGGTTTGGGTGTTTCGGTGCTCCTTGTGTGTTGTGCCAACCGATGATATGCACTGATACCACTTGTTGGGATTTATGCCCGAGAACTAACACATACGCCGAGAGAGGTCAAATACAATCACAATAATGACATAAACGCAAACAACCAATTTTACGTGGTTTGGCAAATTTGTCTACGTTCACGGGAGCGACACAATTAATTTTTTATTAGTAACAAAAAAAATTACAAATAAGAGAGGATTTCAAACTTGAGATCTCTCAAACAAATAGCAGGTGATTTTATTCTAAAATCACTGCTCAAACTCTCTTAATTATCCTAAAGAAACTCCTATTTAATTCACCAAACCCCTCCTCTCAATTAATGAGTACAGGGAAAAATGGGTTTCACCAATTGGAGAGACCCCAAATCAGAGCTCAAGAGAAGAACGCTGCTCTTCTCTTCTTCTTTTTTCTTTCTGCTTCGCTCTCTCTCTCTGTCGCCGCTCACAAGGGTTTCGATGCGCTCTGCCGCTCCAAAGGGGCTCACGAACAAGGTTTCCCTTTTATTGGGAAACCCTAGGGCGAGCTCATCTCCTGCTGGCTACAGCTGGTCTCCACTAAGAAAGGCGAGCTTCGAACGCCTCTCCACACCCGTACGCATGTGAGCTTCGAACTGCCAGCTTGTCTACAGCTGGCCTCCACCACGCAGGCGAGCTTCTCAGACCCGCAGGTCGACAGGCGAGCTGAGGGCTTCAGCAGGCGAGCCCCCTCGCCTTCCCACGCCCGCAGCGGCAATAGGCGAGCTTCCTCGCACGAACCACTCGCTCTCCACTATCCGCAGGCGGGCAAGCTCATCCACGCCTCGCCTCCAATCGCTCTCGGCTTCAGGCGAGGTCCCGCCCCCTCTTTCAGGTACGTTTTCTACAAATCTCCGTCTCGGCAAATTTTTTCCAAAACCGAGCCGACACCAAACAAACCAAACGTTCCACGTGTTGCGTCTAGTAGGAAGTGAAACAATTCACGACAATGGACTCAATTCACAACAAGTCGAGACCCAAATAAGAATGAGATCACTCTCCAAACATTGGTGTCTACTCACCAAATCGGCTGCATCATAAATGACTGCCTACGTATCATCTTGCTCAAGGAATCAAGCCTTCATGTAGTTTACCCAACGGCCTTCAAAGGCTCTCAATCAACTAGAAGAGTTCTCAACTCTTCATCAACAAATCTGCGGCTGATAGAACTCCAAATGACCCCAAATTATAACAAACCAAACACCTCCACCTGAGGTGAACCAATGGCCATATCCAAACTACGTCTACCAGCTGCACTCAAATCAACCAACTCATCATCTGCATCCAAATCCAAATGATTCCCAACTAGTGTCACCTCAGCTGGAATCCTAAACGATACAGTATGATCTGGAGTATGTGGAGTAATCTCCACCCAACGTGGAGTAGTATCACTCTCTATCCGCTGCGATATCCTAATGATCTAATCAACACTCTCCACCTGCCGAGAGTTAAAAGTGACATTCTTGCTCAGAATAAAATCAAAGTCTCCCAAACGAGTCTCTAATCCTAAATGTGCAATCAGATCAAATCTCACATCCACGATGTGACCAAGTGCTGGGTAGCCAAACATCCGACACAACCCAAAATCTGAAGAAGCTCCATTAGATCTAAAATCTCCAAACGCAGCAGTCGGCAACCTATGATGAAGATGACCCAAACATGTCAAAGCCCGAACACTAAAGTCAATGCTCGACATCAAACGTCGATCCCCCTTCAGTAAGGAACAACTCACTAAATCTGTCATTTCATCTCATCGCCCTAATGTTTCCTCTCCAATGAAGTGTCTCAAACTGTCATGAGCTCGGCACAAATGCAAAAAAGAACAACGGATTACCTTTCTGCCAATACACTTCCTCAAACTGTTGTTGACTACTAGGACTTTAAACCAACGAGACTTGGTTACAACCCATAAATGCCTAGTACAATCCTCAACATAGGAACCCAAATATCGATCACCTCCCAATGATACATCTTTGGAAGGCCCCCAAATGCCTGACGAACACTACATAAAAGGCCCCTCGTTCGATGGATAGAAGTGCCAAACTCCACCTTTGTCTTTTTGCTCATCCCAATGTGCTCAAAGGACTTTAATCTGCAGGTCAAAGCATTCCTCAACAATCTATGCACGACATAGCCAATCAAATACCCCAGCATCAAACAACGCCACAGTCTAGCCCCTAAAGAAGTCGGCAGCTCTCTATCAATCACCGTGCTCCCAAGCAAATAATACAAATTCTCTTTCTGACACTCTTCATCATCATCATGGACCCCAATGTGACATTCAAACGTGCATCCACCAAGGTCACTCTATAGCCTGTTGCCTCCAAAGCTCCAATTGAAATGATGTTCTTCTTCAACCGAGGAACGAACCTCACTTCCTCCAACTCCCGAATCACCTCGTCACTCATCCGAATACGAACGGTACCAATATCACCAATATGACATTTGTGATCATTACCCATGAGCACGACATCCCCTCTTTCCAACTTCTGAAAGCTGGAGAACCAATCCCTTCTAGGGCAAATATGGTAAGAAAGACCCGAATCCAACATTCACTCAGTGGAGTCGGTAATACATACTGACGGTAGTGCAGATAATGAGTAGCCCGAAGAATCCGAATCTGAATTGTCGCTCCTAGTCCTGGTAATATTCACCTCTGAAACTTGAATAGCTTTCCCCCTATTCTTCCAGGCTTGATCTATCAACTTTGGACATTCGGTTTTCTAATATTCATCCTCTTTACAAAAGGCACACTGATTCCTACGAACTTCAGAATGTGCCCCTCTAGAGTGTGACCTCCTACCACGGTTTGGACTCTTTATTCTTGCGACCAATGCCCCCGCTACCGGCTCAACTGAAGCCTCTTTATCATTCTTTCGAAGCTGATAATTCACAAGTACAGCGGTGACCTCACTATACGAAAGAGATGCCTTTTCGTTAATAAGAGTAAGAACAAAGGCCTCATATTCCTCGTCAGACAAGGAACTCAATAACAGCAACACCGTGTCCTCATATTCAATCATCACATCTACATTCGTCAAATCCGTAAGAAACTTCATGTAGTGGTTCATGTGATCACTAATGGAGGTCCCCTTCTTCAATTGGAAGCGATAAAGCATCCTCTTCAAATGCAAGCGATTTTTAACGCTCTTCGTCAAATACTTTCTCTCTAGGACCTCCTAAATCTTCTTAGCCGAAGTCTTATTCATCACATCATATTTTAGATCTTGAGTAAGATAAGACCTAATCACACCACACGCCGTTCGATTAATCTTCTTCCAAACCTTCTCATCAATGTCGTTCGGTTTTCCGTTCGACTCCAAAACATTTTTAAAATTTTTCGCATTAAGTGCATCCAAGACTTTGCATCGCCAAAGTCCAAAATTGTTTGTGCTATTAAACTTCTCCACGTCTATCTTCATAGAGTGGATATTCAAACTTTGAACGGTCTTCACACTAGAAGAACCCTCCACAACTCTTTCTTTACTGGCCATCTTCCTTAAGGCACTAACAAACCAATACGGAACAAATGAAGAATAGATCCAAACTGATAAAGAAATTTTTTTTACCTCCAACTGAAATTCTAAAAAAAGAGCCTACAAATGATCTCACCCCCACACTGTTGGTCTTCTTGTTTTGATGATGATTTAACAAACAATTTACATCTAATATTATTTGTCTAGTGTTTGTGTTTTGTTATTTATTATAGATAAACAATAAATTAGAGGATGAATGGAATTACGTTTCAACGATCATATCCAATGGAGGTTGACAGAATTGTGGAGTGAAGCCTTGCAATTCAAGTTGAAGATCCAAGTTCAAGTTTCTTCCGTATAGTGTACCAAGTCAAGCTTATTGAAGATCAATATTGCTTGGGTAACATTTAGTTTATGAGTTTATATTATGTGTGTTAGTACTTTAAGCTCAGTATCATATACACACACATTTTATTATTTTCTATGTATATATATATAGTTATATATATATATACACATCTTGGATTTTGGTTTATCCACAAACAAAGTTTTTACAAGCATATAAATAAATATTTATATTCATACATATTTGTTTTTATGTGGATAAGTTGGTTTGATCTAAATAGATATAAAACAAATATATATTCATATACATACTCATATGTTTCATATTCTATTGTATTTGACAAAATATTGTATTCATTGTTTATAGACTTCATAATAATAGTTTACATCTTTCTTTAAGTCTATAAAATCATTTTGTAGAGTTTCAAAAGTTTGTTTAAGTCAAATGTCAAAAACATGTATGTTTAGTTTTTATGTTTTTGGACTATTTTGAAAAATGATGATATTTTATATTTGGGAAGGTTTTTTTGAAAACCAATTTTTGTAACATGTTTATTATCATGTTTACAATCATTTTCCAATATTTTATATTTTTTGAAATTTATTTGATATTTTTAAACCCAGTTTAAAGTTGAGTTTTTCTGTGCACTTCAGGTCTATGCATGTTTGGTCGACTCATAAGTCGACTCACAAAGTGCAGCGCAGTTATGATT